GTGCGAGAAAAAAGAATGCGATGGAGCGAGTGATCTGCGATTTTACATGTGCCTGTCGTTTTTATTTGTGCTTGGTTTCGTTTCATTTTGATTTGTATCTCGGAGGTGTTGTCTTCTGGCGACTAGTGGGAAAGTTAAAGCGCTATACGGATTCCAATCGTCACCAGCTGACTGGTCTGAGTATAGGGACGGAGTGTTTGAGCATTTCCGATGGATGTGGGAAGGTTGTGAGTACTGGTTGCAAAAAACCCCGGAAGTGAATCTGTGGAAACTGATGACCAAGGGTAAGGACGAACTCCCTGAATGTTGTCGCCACCTTATAGTGTATGTAGACGACCTATTGGTGGTTGCACCTTCCAAGGTAAGACTCGGGTTTCTTGACCGCCTTCAGAAAGAATGGAATACTTCTGCCCCGGAATCAGTTGGGACAAATGGCTGGACCAGGTTTGCTGGTGTGGAACTGAGGTGGAACGAGAATGGAGGTCTAAGGATCAATCAGCACTCTTATACTAAGGAGCTTCTGGAACGCCATCAAGTCACCATTCCGAGGTGGTCACCCATGTCCAAGGTTGATCTTCCGGAGGAATCAGAGCCGGGGGTGACCACAGAACTGATCCGAAGGGCTCAGGCCCTCACTGGTGAATTACTTTGGTTGTCAGTCCGGATTCGTCCCGACATTGGCTATGCAGTAAGTCAAATGGGAAGGGCAGTAAGCAAGAATCCTACTTGGTCCTTGGAAATTGGGCAATCCATCTTGGGTTTTTTGGCTGCTACCCCGAATCATGGTTTGACGTATTATCCTTGCCAAGAAGACAGGGGCATCACTCAGATTCCAATACAGAGGCATGAGAAGTTGGTTGAGGTGTTGTCGGATGTGTCTTTTGCTCCAGGGGGGAAGGAGTAACCAAGGTGTTATTCTGTTGTATGCTGGTCAGCCGGTGCAATGGGAAGCCACACGTCAACCTTTTCATACAATGAGTACTGCAGAATCTGAACTTGTAGGCCACTGCGAGGGTTTGCAAATGGCTCTCTCCATCGAATCGCTTCTAGAAGTAGTGTATGGGGAACCTGGCTTGGTTTTCGAAAAATGGTTGGCAGGGGACAATACCACGGCTATAGGATTGATGACGCGGCCTGATGGTCCATGGCGTACTCGCCACTTGTGGCTCCGTGCCAACTGCTTGAAAGAAAAGCTGAATGCTGAACCTGGGGATTGGAAGGTGTTTCATCAAAGGGGCTCTGAACTATGTGCCGATTATCTGACTAAACCTATTGTAGCTCGTAGCTCATGGGGTTGGTTTTGGCGGTTCATGTCCATGGAAGGTGACACCCCTTGGCCTCCTGCTGAGGAACTGTGCCCTACTGAGGAAAGCTCTGATACTAAGGTCATGGATTCAACATCTTCGAAATCGAAGGCTCTCCAATGTCGATTGGCAACTGCGGCAGCTGCTACGGCTGCTCTGGGGCTACTTCATCAACAATGTCGAGGACGTGATCCACGATGGGGGGAGGCCACTGCGATCTCTTTGGCAGCGCTATGGGTCTATGTTGGATCGCAGGAACGGATCGAAGAGACTGTACAGGAAGGTGTACAGGATCGAAACGGAACGTCTGTACAGGAAGGTGTACAGGATCGAAACGGAACGTCTGTACAGAAAGGTGTACAGGATCGGAACGGAACGTCTGTACAGGAAGGTGTACAGGATCGGAACGGTACGTGTGTACAGCAAGCTGTACAGGATCGGAACGGGAACGGTGTACAGGATCGGAACGGAGTACATGTACAGGGTCACCGTAGGGATTGGCTTGAGACTGCACATAGTTTCCCAAAGGATGCTGGTGCTGTACATAGTCTTCCAATGGGTGCCACGTTTTTCTCCGATGAGGAGGAATGGGAATCGGTGCCGGAACAAGGCACGATCCAGACTTTGCGTGTGGCAAGAGCTGAGTGGAAACCACTAAGTACTTGGTGGTTCAATGGATTGAGTGTTCGAGAGAAAAACGAAAAAGAAAAGAAAACATGCATCAAAAGCCTGGAGGGCAATCAAGAGAGTACAAGAATTCAAAAGACAGTCAAGCAGTTGAGACTGAGGGATGATGAACCCAGATCTCACGTGGTAGGTGCAGCTGGTGGGTGTGCCGTTTTGTGGAAAGGTGCAGGTTCGTCGGTCGCTCGTTTGGGTGGTGGTAGTGGTTTTGGTGTTGGTCAACACCCCCTTGGTGAAGGTTCTAGACCCCGGGAACTTGGCTGCGTTGATGGGTTTGATAAGGGGAAACCACTTGTGGCCAATAGCACCTTTCACTGTAGCCCTGAGGGCTCCCTAAGTCACGGCGCGTCGCCCCAGCTTAAAGCCATGTCGATGAAGGCAGATAAGGCAGTGATGCCTGAGATGCCTTGGAACCAAGCTGCCTTCGAGGTCCCTCCCACGGGCAGCAAAGACAAGTGGTCCTGGCTTAAACTGGGCAGACGCCAGTTCCTTGTTCGGGCGCACTCGGGACTGCGACAAATGCAGTTCCATCCAATCCATGGAAACGTGCCGGTGCAGCCAAGGGAGCTTACACAATCGAGGACTACGGTTAAGTTCATGGCTGAGACCGGAGAGAAGATTGTGGAGCATGACAACTGGCTGGCTCCGGAGATCAGGACGAAAGGTGCCCCTCAATGGCGAGGGTATACCTTTTTTCAAGTGAGGGTGCCGGCTGAGGTCTCTGATCGCCCTGACGAAGACTTCCATGGCTCCGACCAAGAAGTTGAGGTGGGCCGACACCGGCATATCCAAGGAGGAGTTGCAGCAGCATCCGAATCGGATCAGAGGCCGAGTCGTGCTGACGGCTCTCTCGGAGCCCTTTATGTTGAGGAAGTTCCCCTGGTCAGTGAAGTGGGGACGCCGGCATCATCCTTGACTTCAAGGGGTACAGGGCGAACTACGAGCACTGGCTATGAACGTACTTCACAAGACTTGATCCGCCCGAAAAAATACGGGCACCCAGACTCTGCTCTGGAACGTGGCCGCAGGGCCAACTCAAACCATGGCTCCATCCCAAGCACTCCATACCCGAAGGCGCTGGCACCAAGGGCATCGTCGGGACCTATGCCTCCGTCAGCTTCTGGCCCTATGATGATGGCTTCGGTGGGACGGGATTCGTCTGGAGCCTGTTGCCAATCTCCATTCGAATGGGTGGAGGACGTGAAGGATGGAGAGGATGGGAAGGGATCGAGCTATGGGTGGGAAGTGATGAAGTGAGCCGTTTTTCGATGAAAAAGGGGGAGTGTGAATCTCCTATTTAGTTGGGTTTGGTGAGTAACAATTGTGAAGGGCCACCAACTACAATCCTTGTTTTTGCACAGCTAGCTGAATAGGGTAGCGGCTGGTCCACGGTCAGGGTGACCGCTTTCAA